TTTCCTCTGTGTGTCTCACAAAGGCAACATGACGGTTTAAGAAGAAAATGTTCTTAGCAGAGAAACTTTTAATCCTAATGTGGCTTGTTCCATGCTGTGTAGATTCAAGGCATTTTGTGAGTATATCTTCACCCTACATGAAATGAGATTCTGGGAAATACAACACCACTGTCATCACTCATCGTGTACTGTGCAGTGTTTTCTTCATGTTTGTAATGGGTTTGTAATGTTTCCACATTAGTGGAATGAATGTAATTGCTTTCAAAGACATTTTAATGCTTCAGTACTTGATTTCATTCTAATTGTGCCTTGCACTATTGCTTGTCTATAAGAATTCACCATTTGTTACTGCAAGTACATTAGCTGATCCTTACTCAAGCTGAGACCTAGGTGGTTGCATGCATGCTGAGATACCATGAAAGAACCTCCAGCCCCGGGGATGCCTGTGTTCTGTAAAAGTATTATCTGTGTTGGAGAATAACTAGGTAGAGAAGTGAGCTGTAATATTCACTCAGGCTTGCATTTCTGGGAAAATGTGGCTTTGATAGTCTAGCTTACTGTAAAACAGACATTAATAGGCAAGGCTTGTACAAAGGGGGAGGGGGAACGCCTCTCATCTTCTTTTAAAGTCAATGTGGCAGGTGTGTTATGTCCAAAATGGACTACATTAGTGATTAGCAGCGCCTGCGCTCGTCTCCTAACCGTGACGCCCCTGCTTGGCTCAGCCACGTAGCCAGGCTCTAGTCCAGTTGTTTCCAAGCTGCTCCCTTCAGATGTTCTTGGACTGCATCTTTCATCCTGCTTGACTGTTGGACATATTGTTGGGAACTCAAGGGAGTTGGCAGCCAAATTATATAAAGGACCAAGGCTGGGGAAGCGGCTGTAGATTGTGTCACAGCCCAAACTCGTAAACTTAGCTGACCAGCCACGTGTGGCAACTTAATAGGAGTTCAGTGAGCATCCTGTGTACCTCGTTCCCCTGAAACTGTGAAAATGGTGGATGGGGATGGGGAGAGAGAGGCCTGAGGAGACATTCTGTACAGCCAGTGGGTCCTCTATTCAATTTGGTAGGCCATGGATTGTGTTGACCTGCTTTAAATGAGGAATCCCCAACCTTTTTCGGGGGGCAGTGGGCATATCTGAAAATCTGATAATGTCCTGGGTGCGCCTACAAAATGGTTGCTGTGAGGGAGCCTGCCCTTCCATGAAACGGCTGCTATAGTAGTTGTGTCAAATTGTACCACACACATTCCTTTAGCAGCCAGCATTTCCCTTTGCAGTGTGGCAGCCTCCTGTTTAGTAAAGAACCACAACAGGTTCTTTGGCAGGCATCAAGGGGTCTGTTGTGGACATACTGATGTCCAAGGGCACCATAATGGAGATCCCACCTCTAGCTGATTGCATACTAGTTTTGCCTAGGAAGCTTGTCTGCTCCAGGACTGTTCTTTCTCTTTCAAACATCATGGGGAAATAGCCATATGAACACTGACGTACTGTTGAACCATGCAAAAGTAGAAGCAGCTGCTTATATGCAAAGATGACATTGGGTTGCTGGCAAGAAAAGATGACAGAGCAAGAATGCTAGCAAGTAGCTATTAGATAGATGGTGATTATGGATTGGAGTGTTAGATTCCCTTTTACTTTGTTGCATTGTTTCATCAGACACGCTTTGATGTCCCCATGGTTTCCCTGGGCATTACTTATATAACAGGTTCCTTAGAATGCTGTGTTTTCACCTACCGGTTTTTAGCTTTGCAGACAGAGGTGTAATGAGTTTGTTTTCACATAGTAGAATAATAGCCCGAAGTATTAAGAGGTTCTCAAATATGCATAATTCTACTGGAAGAAGAACAGTTGCTGGGAGCACAAAGAATTTATTCTATTACACTGTGTCCTATTGTGAGGTCTTTTTAGAAGCGCCCATCACATTAGCTGTCAGAATTGTGTGCTGGTCAAGAAAAGATAAAGATATGTGGGAAAAATATGCAAAGATGTGAAGATGAATAAGCCTTCTTGGGAGCTGCTCTTTCTGGATCAGATAAAGTTTCCCCATGTTTCTTTCCTTCCGATGGCAGTACATCAAAACCTTTTCACAGATTAGTAATACACACTTGGGATTCTCAGGCCAGACCTTTCAATGCATAGTCAGTTTTCAGACTGATGGATGATATGGCCTTTCTTTCTTTTTTTTCTTTTTTTGGTGGCAATCTTTCATGTTTCTGTAAAAATGAACAGAAAAGTTCAGAGGGTGCACAAAGTAAATATTATAACTTGCATGCTTTTCTTATTTTTGCTCTTTATATTTCGCACCAGTATTGCACTGAATAAGGAGTAGCAATGCCACCCGAAAGATTAATACAAACCCATTGCCTTCCTTTTGTCTTCCCTTTCTGCCTGTGAAGCCAGAACTGGTTTAAGGGTAGAGACAGCATTTTAAAAGGATAGTTGTTTCCAATTATTCTTTGGTAACCACTGTCTTAGCGAATTGTAAGCACTGGGGGAGCATAGACAATAGTCATTAGATATCATGTGTGCTATGGGATCATGCGAAAATGGCACATGAAGGGATGTTGATACTTGCATGGAGCTTTAAGCTTCTTTTTGGTAGATGATTACCTACAGGGATGCAAACAGAGTAACACTAGCAGTTACAGCAGTCATACTGCCATGTGCTGCAATGCTTTCCCAGAAGTGCATATGGAAGATTCAGCTTCTAAGCTGTGTGTACCTACTTGAAAATATATGCAATGGATGCAAATTGTTTTCTGGCCTCAGTTCAGGGTGTTGGTCCCACTTGGTCCATCACTGCTCTGGCAAGTAAAAGGATAAGGAAGGAGGATACAGAATCGCAAGAGGGTTTGGGGTGGGATAAAGGAACTTTGGAACTTCAAACACATCATCCCTGCAACTGGAATACCTCCAGCCACATTGTGCTATCTGTGGGAGTGGGGAGTGGTGAAAGATCTAAGTTACCTTCTGAAGAAGGCATCTTCCTTGGCCTGGAGTTGGCTGGGAGCCTGGCAAAAGCCAACTATGTGATTCTCAAAAGTTGAGTCATTGACTTGCAGAAGCCAGGCTGCAGTGGACTGACCCCATATTCATGTCATACCAGTATGATAAGGAGCATAAACTCTTGGAGGTTTTGCCTTCATGACCCTACAGCCTTTGGTCCGTTGGTCAAGGATGTTTGGCAGATTGCCAGAGGATGCAGCCAGTATGTAATGGACTAGAACATAACTGCATTTAGACTACATATCCATTTTATGGGTCCAGACACTATCCCGTAATAGCAGGCGCAGTTGCTCGAGGGTCTGCTTGTGTCATGCCTCACAACTTAGGAGCTGAGCTGACTTGGCCTGGCCTTAATAAGTACTTTAACAAGGCTTCTGCGTAGGGTGGGGAGTTGCTATTACAGCAGGCACAGGAAATTAAATCCGTGTGGAATTTGTATTAATATGTGCTGTTAGGAGCCTGTGACTCACACATACATCCTAATTACTTTATGACTGAGCAGAAAGTGATGGCTTGCACATGGGAATGAGCTATTGCAGGTCTGACAGCGCAGACAGAATGCTAATCTAGTGTCACACACAGAATCTGAAATACACCAATTTCCAGTGGTCACAGTTCTCACATCGAGCTGAAAGTCATCAAATGATACACATGAATGTGTGAAACAGTCCAAAGATTTGGACTGTTTCTTTCTGTTTGCCTCTCTCTCCTTCTTCACTCTCTCAATGTGTCAGATTCTTCTGCATTTCCTACCAGCTGTCATGAACATATTTTGTTTCCATTATAGTAGTTTCCTTATTTATGAAAATATCTACGAGTGGTGTGGTCAGCTAATAGTAACACTATCAAATTGTACAAATGGCTGGGTCTCCATCACCAACTTAGTATAGTTGTCAGCAGCGTTACTGTGTAGCAGTGTTGCATGTCACAGGTATTATTGTTGACATATAACTCCACAAACAGTTTCGGAATAGGATCCCATAAAGGATTTCCCCCCCTCTATAGACCCATTAGACCACTACAGCTTTCAGGGGAGACCTTGTTGACCACATCACATCTTATTGAATCTCATTGAACAGCAATATGGCAATGGTCCTTCCATATAGAAGCCCTCCCCCACCCCCATATGGCCTCCCCTTTGTGTTACATTAGCTGTCAACAATTATATGCATTTTACATCCATTAAAAGCCTAATTATCCTGGCTTTCTCCAACAATTAATTTATTTTAAGTCTTGTTTTCTGGAGCATTATTATCTGTAATATGGCTGCATTTTTATAGTGGTTAATTGTTTTATGATTTGTTGTAAAACATTTTGGGATTTTTAAACTGGAAATGGTTTATATATATTGTGAATTAATTCATTAAAAAGATAATATATTAGGCTCCAATACTAGCTGCAACGCACCTTTTATAAAAGTATACTTTTGCAGCATTTTCATATGGTTATTTGAATTGCTGCGGACCACTGGATGGGGAAGACATCAATGAACTGCCCATTGTATTTTCTGTTGGTGCTCATTTCATTCCTGAGTGGAGGCAATATTCTGAAGAGTGGGTGCCACCCCCAAAAAGACCCTTTCCTGAATGTCATCAGATGGACATCTGTAGGGCCTCTGATGATGTTGTACAATAACCAGGTAAATCTACTTGGCATATTAATCCAGGGAAGGCACATTAAATTGTTTCATTCTAAGATGCAAACCAAATTAATTTCTTGCCCATTTCTACATATGGAGTGATACTAACCTTGATTGTTACATGAACATTTCTGTGGCTGAATTATCTTTGCTTGTGTCTATTAAAGTAACAAATCAAATCAAACAAATCTATTAATGCTTAGATTTTATTCTTGCTTTCTGCCCAGGCGATCAGGATTGGTGCTGTTATAGCTGTCACAAGAAATTTCAGTTTCTTCGATCTGCAGATATGATGTCTGCATTACAGAAGCAAACTGACTTAACATTCCTTCCCTTTGTTTTTCTTTAGCGCCTCGCTGAAGCAGCAGAAAAATTTCAGAAAGAACATCAGTGGCAGGATGAGTTTGCGGTGAGTATGCATGCTTATTTTCATTTGTTCCATATAATTAGGTCATTTCTAATTTCTCTGTTTGCCGGGCTAGCTATACCAACAAGCATTTAATTGTTTCAGTTAGGTTTCCTCAAAGACATGAAGGACTTACAGACAGGACACTACTGAAGAAATGTTAGTTGTTTTTTAGTTAACAGGCATTGGCAATTGGCTGTACAGTCCATGCTATAATAAGATAATGAATGGAAATCAACACTGAATCCATGCTGAGACTTGGAAGTGAGACTAAATTAATCAAGTCATCAGACTAAATAAAGGATTGCAAAATATTAATTATTTCTGGTCCCAGTCTTGCTCCAATTCCCAACCAGATGTCATTGAGATGTCTTGCTTACCCCATGTTTGCCTGCTGAAATACAGTTCCTCTCTGGCTATAGAAGCACAGTGAACACCCATCAGGATGCCATTATGTTGTTAGCAGCCAGTGTTTCTCCATCGCTTTAAAATTCTATATTGCTAGTTGTCCGGAGGATCCATTCTACTCCAAAACTGTCTCAGAAATATTTTTATGAATGAATGGATAAATATACATCCTATGAAACTTGATACACATGATAGACCTCTGAAATTTAATTAGAAACTAGTTCAAAATACCACTGTAATTAGTGGCTCAGAGATGTTTTTCCAAACTGGTTTTTTTTTTTTTTTTAATGGAAACAACTTTCTTTTTATACCTTCTATGCAGAGTGAGCCAAAATGTTAGGTATTGCTGCACCTCTTACCTCTTCCACTGAAAGAAAGAGAGAGAAAAAGCTTTCATAAACTGGAATGGGAAGGGGAAAAATCAATGGTAAATAAGCTATAGTACCTCTAGTTTTGTCATAAACACTTTAAAAAAAACATGAGTGGGACCCAAAATAAAAAGTGATGGTGTGGCTCATTTTCAACATTCAGGCAGCATCCACATGCTGTTATCCATTATTTTCCACCAACCACACTCAATCCACATTCTGCATCACTGAGCACGCTCAGTTCTCATTGGAGGGTGTTTTGGGGGTTCCCAAAAACCATATTTGGGAACCCCCAAATATGGGGCTCTGTGGATGCTGCTGCTAACATAAGCCTCATCACTCACTCCTGAACATAGAAATAGAAAAAAAGTGCAATTAGTGCGGTCAAAGCTAATTGTGAATAAGTTGGTTTTTGGTTTTACTTTGAAGATAGTTTTCGACACTGTTTTCGAGTGTTTCAAAAAATATTTAGTCCCATATAAAACATGGTCATAATAAAAGAAACATTTCTCTTCTATCCTTGTGTAAATGCCGAAACAGTTAAGACAGTTTCAGAGGCTCCTATATGCCAGCCACAGATCTGCAAAATGAAAGAATTGAGCCCTGATTTTATGCCGTTCCTTTCTTGCTGTACACTTGGCAGTGAAACTTTCCAACTGGAAGAGTATTCATGTGTCTGGGCTAAAAGCACTTTCTTAGCATTCGCCAGTTAGAGGAGGACACATCACTGGATAGGGGAAGGCAATGTTAGCAAAGTGATGACCAGCAGGCAAAGGCAATCCATCAGTACAATACTCAGCATTCCAGGAACTGGTATACCTTGACAATTTAGGTTTGATGCTGGACTTGCAGGTGTTTGGAAGAATTTCCTCTGAACTCTTGTTATCTTGTGTGTACCATGAGCCTAAGAAAGGGTAAATAGGCACAGGAAGCAGCCTACCTATCAGAATGGTCAAATGAATCTAGCTAGTGGCAGTTGAATGACTCCAGATCATCTTAGAAATATGTGGAACCTCATGAGAAATATAACCTTACCCAAATATTTTTGATTCCCTAAAATATATTTTAAAAATCAACTAGATCTTTTATCTGTGGAAGATGCTCCAAATTTGTTCACTTTTAAGTTCACTTTAAGCAAGATCCTATAACATGGGTCCTCAAACTAAGGCCTGTGGGCCAGATCTGGCCTGCCATGCCCATTTAACTGGCCCACCCCACAGGTTTTGCACTTACCGGGTACACACGTGCGGGCGTGTGGCTTGCTCACGAGAGGTCGTTTTGAACTCGATGGGAGAAAACGATCTTCTCGTGAGCAAGCCGGCATGCGCCGTGCATGCCTGGTGGGAGCTTGCTCATGTGGAGGTCATTTTGGATTTGCTTGGAGAAAACGATCTCCTCATGAGCAAGCCGGAGCCTTGCCCTGTGCCCTCCCTTCCTGCCTTGCCTCATGTGCACGCGCGTGTGCGTTCGCCCCGCCCCCACAACGCCCCCCCCCCACCAGCACCTGTCAACCGGCCCCCTGTTGAAAAAGTTTGAGGACTCCTGTCCTATAACATGTGAAAGATGTGCTGGACGACATATTCAGAAATGTTGTTCATCTTGCACAAATGGTTGTGATTTGTCCTAAAATTGCTTTCACCTGCAGAGAAGGTCTCCAACTGGCCTGGAATGTGCTTGAGGCAGAAATTCAGGGTCAACGTCTGTTGAAATATGCCCTATTTTACAATTATACAGAGGAAGGTGTTATCCAACACAGCTGGTACTCCCCTGTGGCTTCACTTTCTTTAGCCCTTTATGTTCAGTAAAAATAAAAGAGGGTCGGTTTGTACACTCTGCACAGACAGGTTGTAAGTCATCAAATTTCACTGCCAGGAAGCTTCTGCAAAATTGTACTGAAAATCTAATCTTTTATTAATACATTCAGTGAAGGAAAGTCTGCAGTTAACATAGTATCAACATGCATATCTCTTTTTTGGCAGAAGAAATTGAGTTGTCATAAAAGCAGCTTGAAACCAAGCTTATGCCTTTCTCTTTTGAATTGGGATGGAGGAACTGCATGGAATATAACAACCTTGACATTAGGTTATGCAATTAAATTTTGAATAAATGCATTAAGCTTCTCATAATTTAATTTGTTCCATTTTAGCCAGAAGTAATCTTTCATTTCTTCTGGCCTACTTTTTTAATATATAGAAAATGCCTGTTCAGATTAGTTTGCACACGGATCTGGCTGCTCAACTTACTTTTCAGTGTGATTTTTCTTGTTCCTAATGGCTGTTCCCTGAAATAGAATCAGCACTACAGAATATCTTTTTTGCCATTGGACTTGAGCAAGGCATCCTTGTTCTTGAGGTGAAATTGAGCTTGCTGCAGTTTCCTGTTTCCGCAGTGGCTTGCTTTCGGGTGATGGAAGTCCTTTCGGTACAGCATGAGTCAGAGACAAAGCAAATTTCTTTTGAAGCAGCTGGGGAGATGTCGTCTGGTTTGGCTCCCCATTGGCTCTGAATCAGCAATGAGTTTGGCAGACAGCTTGTAGCACAATGATAGCCTGTGGTGATCGCACTTGGCAGTGGGGTGCTTTGGCCCTAAAGGGAAACTAAAAAAGAAATGGCTTTAGCTCAAGTTCTCTTTACATCAGAGGTAGGTCTCATAGACCTGTGAGCCAGGGGCCTTTAAACATTCTGCTTATGGGAACCTTTCCCCCCAAAGTGGTCAACCTGAGAGGGCAGTCCTCTGTTTAAAGTGCTGTGAGATATTAGTTATCTGTGTGAAGGCATCCTTAGTTTGAAGGGCTGTCCAGTCCAAGTTTGGTATGAAGATCCCCTTCGAACTGTCAACTTCTGAGAATGCTCTTAAGTCCCAATTTACACCAGATGACAGGACCTGAACCTTGAAACTCATAGGAGAGGGCTGAAGACTGCCAGCCCCTCTCATCTACAAAACACTTGACTGGCATTTCAATAGTTCCTTTTGATACTTCCCTGTTGTCTTGTTTCTTGTCTCTCTCCCCTTTCCTCCAAGATCTTTGGTGTGTATGATGCTGCTTCTGTTCCTGTTGCTTGTGCTTTTCTGCTTTACTGTTCTCGCTCTTAAATGTGCTTCAGTTGTGCTTGATTTCAGCCAGCTCCTATGGGTGGGAAACCAGTTTGAATAGCTCCCTTTCTTTAGCTCATCACATTTAGTTAAAGATAAAGAACCACAATCAGGGGCCTTGAAGCTGGGGCCTTGAAGGAGTGCAGTCCCCCAAAACATGTCTACTTTATGCGATCTCCACTTGGTTCATTGGTATTCACTCCCAGGCATGTGAGTACAGGATGTGTATTGTACGTTTCTGTCGTAACAAAGTAGTGTTGCTAATGCAGGGGGGATGTGGCAATTGGTGGGCATGACATCAGGGAGAGGTCCATGTGAGGCATCCTAACTCTTGTAGGGACTGAAACTGTTACAGGAGGGGGATGAGGAGCTGGATAAAAGGTTGTAGTTTCGGTGGCAACCTTCTGATCTCTACTGCGGTCAACTCTGCCTTCCTCTTGAGGACTTGAGCATGGCAGAGCCCAGAAAGTAGCTGAACTAACAGAAATGGGGAAAGGCACAGGAAGTAGTTCTGAAAGGGCTGTAGTGGGAGATGAGCAAAGAAGGGCAGAGGGGTAGAGGAGGGTTTTACCAAAAACAAAATACAAGTTAGGGCCAAACTGTGTTTTGTGTACACCATCCAACATGCAGCTTCATCTTCAGCTTCTTTCATTTTTTAGACATAGTGGGAGACTTCTTACTTTTTTCAGGCATTTTTCAGGGAGGTTGCAACATGTAGGAAGGAAGGTTTATACATCCCCTTCCCAGCTGCAGATTCTTTTGAAAAACACCCTGTGTTCTGCTGAGGGACAGTAACACCCCCCCCCCCACAAAGTGTCAGTGGGGTTTTTCCCGCTATGCCTTAAAGCTGTGCATCGGGAAGGGAGGATGCTGGACCGTTCACAACTGGGGAAGAAAAAGGTCACTCTTCCTCTCTTCTCCACCCCAAGAAATGTCCTTACTGCACTTCAGAAGTTAAAGTCCAAACTTACTCATGTTGGCAACATATGCAATGTCTGATCATACGGCTTGGCCCTTTGAACAGCGCCTCAAACAGAGGCACATTCCAAGCTTCACAAGCGAGCACATGCCTGATCCAGGAGCACATTGCATCCTGTTTTCCTCTTTGGATACTGATCATACAGTTGAGGTCAA